TCTGGGTTTTTAAGAGTTGGGAATGGAGGATGATCCCTGCCAGGGGCTGGTTGGGGTGTCCTCTTTGGGATACATTTTAGGATCAGCTATACTCCAGGAGTATCACAGCCCTGTGAACATTGACTTGATTTCTGGGTTTTTTAAGAGTTGGGAATGGAGATGAGCACTGCCAGGGGCTGAGGAATGATGAGGGTGTCCTCTTTGGGATGCTTTTTGGGATGAGCCATGCTCCAGAAGTATCACAGACCTGAAAATATTGACTTGATTTCCAGGTTTTTTAAGACCTGGGAATGGAGGATGAGCCCTGCCAGAGCTGAAGAATGTTTGGGGTGTTCCCTTTGGGATCAGCCATATCTCAGGAGCATCACAGCCTTGTGAAGATTGACTGGATTTCTGGTTTTTTAAAAGTTGGGAATGGAGATGATCCCTGCTAGAGCTGGGGAATGTTTGGGGTGTTCCTTTTGGGATGTTTTTGGGATCAGCCATCTTTCAGGAGCATCACAGTGAACACTGACTCGATTTCCAGGTTTTTTAAGAGTTGGGAATTTCTGGGTTTTTTAAGAGATGAGCACTGCCAGGGGCTGATTGGGGTGTTCCCTTTGGGATGTTTTTTGGGATCAGCCATACTCCAGGAGCATCACAGCATCACAGTGAACATTGACTGGATTTCCAGGTTTTTTAAGAGTTGGGAATGGAGATGACCACTGCCAGGGGCTGGGGAATGGCTGCAGTGTTGCCTTTGGGATGCTTTTTGGGATCAGCCATATCCCAGAAATATCACAGCTCCATGAACATTTGACTAATTCACAGGTTTTCTAAGAGTTGGGAATGGAGGATGAACCCTGCCAGAGCTGAGGAATGGTTGAGATGTTTTTGGGATGTTTTTTTGGGATGAGCCATATTCCAGGAGCACCACAGCCCTGTGAACATTGACTCGATTTCTGGGTTTTTTAGGAGTTGGGAATGAAGATGAGCACTGCCAGGGAATGTTTGGGGTGTTCCCTTTGGGAAGTTTTTTGGGATGAGCCATATCCCAGGAGCATCACAGTGAACATTGACTTGATTTCCAGGTTTTTTAAGAGTTGGGAATGGAGATGAGCCCTGCCAGAGGCTGAGGAATGTTTGGGGTGTCCTCTTTGGGATGCTTTTTGGGATCAGCCATTCTTCAAAAATATCACAGCCCTGAGAATACTGACAGGTTTTCAAAGCATTGGGAATGGAGATGGGCCCTGCCAGAGCTGAGGAATGGCTGGGGTGCTCCCTTTGCGATGCTTTTTGGGATCAGCCCTATCCTAGAAGCACCACAGCCCTGTGATGGATTTTCACTCCCTGTAGCACACGGATCCCACTGCGCCCACCCTCACATTCCAGCTTCTCCCAGCACCTCCTGCTCCTCCAACCCCCAAACCATCCCAGGACATCCCAGCCGGGCAAAACCTCCCCGGGCTCCTTCTGTGAAATCCCAAACAATCATCCCCACCCTCCCTGCAGCATCCCTCTGTGACAGGCCCTTTGTCCCGCTGTCTGCTCCTGTTTTTCAGCTCCTGTTGAAACCCTCTATTTTTCCCCTCCCCAAGCCAGTGATAAGCGTTTGACTGATCCCACCGAGCAGGCGGGGATGAGCCATTCAGGCGGGATTGACACCTCAAGGGATTTGCATTAAACGCTTCAAACTCGCTCGCCTTTTTTTTTTTTTAATTTTTTTTTTAATTCCCCATTTCTTTTTTTTTTTTCATCTATCATTATATATTTAGCAAATTCCTGCATGAAATTACAGCCCCGATCGTTGGCATTCGCCTATCTGAGAAGGAATCTCTCCCTGCACTGATTTTCCCGAGCATCCCGAGGCAGGAATTAACCCCGATGCTCCACGGAAAAAAGGAGGAAAAATGAGGAAAAATGAGGAATTTAGGTCTGCAGAGGGTTATGGGGTGGTGAGAGGTGAAGGAGAGGGGGATGCTGGGTGTGTTCACGATGTGCCAAGGGTTGAGTTTTGGGAAAGGTTTGGGAAGCCAAGGGCTGTGTGGAGCAGGGGCTGATCCCGATGTGCTGCTGGGGACCTGCAGTGAGGGGTAGAATCCTGGGAATATCCAGATTTGGAGCCTTCTGGAGCAGGGAAGAGGGTGGAATAACTGTGGAGAGAGGAAAAAAATAATAGTGGGGATGTCCAGATTTCAGGATGTGCTCCAAATCTGGCAGGAAAGGCGTCCTTGGCCCGTGGTGGCATTTTCCTGCCATCCCTGGAGGGTGCTGTGGGCATCTCCCAGATTTTGGAGAGCTCCAAGCCTCGAGATGGACCATGTGTGGTTCTCTCTGCTCCCTCAAAACCCTTTGGAGCCAAAATGAAAAATATCCGCTCCATAATCCTGCCTCCCTTTCCCAAAGCAGGGCTGTCTTGGGCGTTATCCCTAGGGAAAATTGAAATTAGGCTGACATTTTCCCTTTTTTGTTTTGTTTTGGTTTTCTTTTGTTTGTTTGGTTGGTTAGTTTAGTTTAGTTTAGTTTAGTTCAGTTTTGTTTTGTTTTGTTTTGTTTTGGATGGAGATGGATGGATGGATGGATGGATGGATGGATGGATGGATGGGGGATGGATGGATGGATGGACGGACGGACGGATGGATGATGGATGAATGGATGGATGGTGGATGGATGGATGAATGGATGGATGGATCCATGGATCCATGGATGGATGGGTGATCCATCATGGCAACAAGTCCTTTCTGAGGTGCCCATGGCTGGCCTCACTCTCCAGCCCTGCCCCAAGAATGATTTTTGATCCTTTTTTGCCCAAGAAGCCCCAAACAAGGCTGGGTTTGCTCTGTGTCCCTCAGACACTGCTTGTCCCCTCAGACACTGCTTGTCCCCCCCCACAGGATCCCTGTCCCTGTGAGCCCCCTGTGCCAGGGGGTTATCCATGGGTGCTCCTTCTCCTCTCCAGGCTTCAATGTTTGCCCCCCTTCCCTCAGGACAGGGATCAAAGCCATGGGAGGATGGGCAGCCAGCCCAGTCACCCAGTTGGATCCTGGTGTTTATTATTCTTTATTATTTTTTCTTCTCCTGAAGAAACAGAGAGAGGAAAAAAAAAAAAATCTCTCTCTGTCCAAAATCACTCATCCTTCCTAATAATGAGAGCTGTCAGCAGCACTGCTTGGCGAGGAAATGATGCTCGCAGTAAATATTTGGTCTGGAACTGATTTATGGGTGGAAAAAAACGAGATTAGTGCTTAATCACTGCCTCTCAGGAAGGGCTTTGGGCCGGGGTTGAGCTCAGGGGGGCTGGGGCCAGGCCAGGGGAGCAGCAATGGGATTTTCGGTGGAGACCCTGTGGTGGGGTTGGGATTGAGGAGCAGCAGTGGAGGGGATGGGCTGGATTTGGGGCTGGGTTAGATGGGATATTGGGAATTAGGAATTGTTCCCTGGCAGGGTGGGCAGGCCCTGGCACAGGGTGCCCAGAGCAGCTGTGGCTGCCCCTGGATCCCTGGCAGTGCCCAAGGCCAGGCTGGACACTGGGGCTGGGAGCAGCCTGGGACAGTGGGAGGTGTCCCTGCCATGTCCTTTAATGAGCTATAATGTCCCTTCCCACCCAACCCATTCCATGGCTCCATGACCATCCCCTGCGGGGCTGACCCCAAGGAGTTCCAAGCCAGGAGAGCTGCTCAGCTGGACCAGCCGGGAACATCCACCCCATCCTGAGCCCAAAGAGGTCCTAGCAGCCACCCTAAACACAGCAGCAGCTTTCCTGTGTGAGGAAATAATTAACTTATTAGAGGATGGTTTAATTTTCTTCATTAAGAGGCCATTTCCTAGCGCCTGGCAGGGCCAGATGCCCCCGGGCACCGCTGGGAGTGGTGGGACATGCTCAGCTCCAGGGCCTGCCCACCCTGCCAGGGAACAATTCCCAATTCCCAATATCCCATCCATCCCTGCCCTCTGGCAGTGGGAGCCATTCCCTGTGTCCTGTCCCTCCATCCCTTGTCCCCAGTCCCTCTCCAGCTCTCCTGGAGCCCCTTCAGGCCCTGCAAGGGGCTCTGAGCTCTCCCTGGAGCCTTCTCCTCTCCAGGTGAGCGCCCCCAGCTCTCCCAGCCTGGCTCCAGCCCTTGCAGCATCTCTGGTGCCTCCTCTGGGCTCTCTCCAGCAGCTCCAGGTCCCTCCTGTGCTGGGACACAGAGTTGGATGCAGTGCTCCAGTTGGGATGCAGGGATTATGGATGGGGCATTCCAGGAATCCTTGAGATGTTGCACAGACAGGATGCTCTCCAAGGATCTCTGTCCCAGATTCTGTAGATCCCCAGCAGGCTGAGCTGCCTTTCCCCGGGCTCTCTCTGCTCCTCACTCCGTGGCAGCCAGAGTGGATGAGCTGGAGCAGCTCTGAGTGCCAGGATCCTGCAGCCCGGCCCATCTGAGCTGCCAGAGTCACTCTGCATCCCAAACCCTTCCAGTCTGGTGCAGCTTTGGGATCATCTGAGCCAGCAGAAAAACGCTGGGCCTTGTCCCAGTGTGGAAAAATGGGACAGGAGGGAGATTGGACTGACAGAGCAGGCGACTCCTCCTCCTGCTCTGCAGAGTTTCATTTCTGAGAAACTTCCCTCAGTGTTTTGGGTTGTCCACACCACGGCCCTGTGGGGATTCCTGGGAATCTCTTGGGGTCGCTCACACTCTCCACTGCAGCCCACCCTTGCTTGGGCCCTTTATTTGATGTAGTGACATTAAATGTGACCATTTAGGGGATTGGACAAGGTCAGCAAGGCTGAGGGTGACGAGCTTTTGGACCCAATGATATTTTTTTCACCCAGGTTCTCAAGAGGAAAAGCTCTGGAATGTTCCTTAATGAAAATTGCCTTTGTTTGATGGTGGGGAGGGATTTGGAATTTCCATGGGGAAGCTGCATTAATTATCACACGGGAGATGATTCAGCAGCAACCCCATCCCACGGGTGCCACCAGCCCGTGCCCAACTCCTTTCCCTTCACTTCTCCTTCCTTTTCCCTCTCTTCCCTCCCAGAGTCAAGAAGAAGAACAAGCCCCTGAACCTCAAGATCCACAACAGCGTGGGGAGCTGTGAGAACATCCCGGCCCAGCGCTCCCCGCTGCTCTCCGAGCGCTCCCTGCGCTCCTTCTTCGTGGGCTACCCGCCCTTCCTGCCCTCCACGCCGCCCGTGCACACCGACGCCACCTTCTCTGCGAGTGAGTGCCCCCTCGGGCGCCCCTGCCCAGGGTGGGAGGTGCCAGGCAAGGGATGGGACTGGGGAGTTTGGAGGACATTGGTTGAGCATTGTGGAATGAGCCCAGCCATTGTGGAGGTGCCTCGTGTTGGTGTTTAGAGATCTGTGGGCAAAGATAGCCCCAAAAACTTGATTATTTCTGTTTTTTTGGGAAGGCCACAGAGGTTTTTGTGCTGTCTGGGGGGGTGGGTCTGCCTGGATGTCACCTAAAAGTGACTTTTCTATGGGTGGGTTTGTAAACCTTTGTGGTTTCACCTCTGTGTTTAAACCTCTCCTGGGTCCTTGCTTTGACATCAAGGGCAGAACTGCTCAATCCCTCAGGATGTGGAGCTGATGTGGAGTTTTGGGAAGCCAGTCCTGGTGCGAACGCCATGGAGCTGATCCCACCTGGCAGAGCTCTGTCCTTTCCCAGGAGATGCTGGTGGTGGCACTCACCGGCTGGGTTTGACTCCATGAGCTCACCCAGGTCTGGGAGAAGCAGCCTGGCGCTCATTTCCTGGTCCCACACCAGTGCTGGGATTAATTCCACAGGGACTGAAACTTTTCCAAGCCAGGCGTGGCTCTTGGCCCAAGAAGAACTTCCCTTGAGGAAACACATGGCAGCTGCTGGATGTGATTCCCAGCCAAGCTCCCTGTGCCTCTTGTTCCTCAGCTAAAACTTCCTCCAACTCCACACCAGGCTGGGTTTCTGTCACTGTCCCTTCCCTCGATTTTTCCCTTGTTTCCTTTCTGGAAATGCCTTCTTGGCTTGTTTTGGGGTCTTCCGTTCGTTCCTCCTGTTCAAGAAGCAGGCTGGAGAAGGTTTTGCAGCCAGAGGGCTTGAAGACAAATTTCCTTTTCCCTTCCCTTCCCTTCCCTTCCCTTCCCTTCCCTTCCCTTCCCTTCCCTTCCCTTCCCTTCCCTTCCCTGGCAGTATTTGATGTCACAGCCAGCCTTGGGGACAGGACAGAAAAGGGACATCCCAGCTTGGGGATGAGCCTGGAAATTAAAAAATTAAAATTTCTAAAAAAAAAAAAAGCAGCTCACAGCCCAGACCAACAGAGCAGGAATCACAGACCTAAACCCCATTCCCAGCCCTCCCTGGAGTGTCTCCTTGGATTAGTTTTGCTCAGTGTTGGATTCTGTGCCGTGCTGTGACATCCTGATGGGATGTGGCACGGCCGCAGCGGGACACGATGGCAGTGATGGGCTGGCAAGTGACTCACCCTGCAAGAGAGGTGTCTCCTCTCATTTCCTCCGACCTCCCTGGCTGCTGGGACTGTTTGCTGGGCTGGATGGGAGCTGGGCTTCCCCAGCTGGTTGATCCCTGCTGGGAGGTTTGGCATCAGTGGAGCAGTTTTGTCATGGTTGAGATGGAGACAATGCAAAGCAACACACTCCGTTTGCAGAAGGCTTCAAACTTGTTTTTGTTACAGCATGCCTGCTTGTTCTACATTCTCACAAAGCTCACAAGTTTACACTTTATTCATTGGTCAGGAAAGACAAGGCGCTCATTGGAACAGGCAGTTGCAGGTTTCTCTTATTTATCCTTATTGGTTTCTTTGTCGACGACCTTGGTAGGAAGTTCTTTCAGGGAATGGATCCTCTGAACATAGATCCTCTCACCAAACTTCTCTCTGGCTCATAGAAGTCACTGTGAAACCTCTTCCACACTGTTTGGTCCTTGCAGGATCAACATCTGTGTGGGAGTTACACCAAGCAGGCCAGATACTTGTAGGGAGCAGAATAATGGAATGAACAGGGCTTCAAACCTGCTTTTATTACAGCATGCATGCTTTTTATACATTCTTACAAAGCTCACAAGTTTACACTTTACTCATTGGTCAGGAAAGTGCTCATTGGAACAGGCAGTTGCAGGTTTCTCTTATTTATCCTTATTGGTTTCTTTGTCAACGACCTTGGTAGGAAATTCTTTCAGAGATAACCATGGATCTTCTTACCATTCTTCTCTCTGGCTCACAGAAGTCAGTGTAAAACCTGTTCCACACTGTTTGGTCCTTGCAGGATCAACATCCATGTGGGAGTTACACCAAGCAGGGCAGATGTTTGTTTGTAGGGAGCAGAATCATGGGACGATTTGGGCTGGAAGGGAGCTTGAAGCTCATCCCTGTCCATGGGCAGGGACACCTCCCACTGGAGCAGGTTGCTCCAAGCCCTCCCTGCATCCCAAGGATTCCCTGTCTCCATCCTTGTGGTGGTTCAGCAGCTGAGCTCTCCACAATATCCCATCCCTGTTTTTTTCTTAAAATCCCTCTTCCCTTTTCCTTCTGTGGGAGTAGCACAGCAGCACCCAGATGCTCTGGATTGTTGTGGAATTACTTTCCTAAGCACGGAAACACACAAATTGTTGTTGTTGTCAGCTGGAGATGGGTGAGGGGAGACCAGGCAGGCCCTGTCCCTCCCTGGCTCTCTCCCCACGATTTTCTTTCCACAGCTTTGCTGCTCCTGGCAGGAGCACGTTCCCATCTGAGTCATCCCTGGCCCGGGTCAGGAGAGGGTTTGGATGCTTCCCTCTGATTTTTAACATCCCTTTGTCCTGATGGGAATGGATTTTCACAGAGGGCTGGAGGGAGCTGCAGAAGGAGCCTCTTCCTCCAGCAAATCTGGCTGGGGGAATCACAGGATCATGGAACATCCTGAGCTGATCCTAAGGGATCACTGATCCAGCCCCTGTCCCTGCCCAGACCCCCAACAGCCCCACCCTGTCCATCCCTGGCAGTGCTGCCCAAAGGCTCCTGGAGCTCTGGCAGCCTCGGGGCCGTGCCCATTCCCTGGGCAGCCTGGGCAGTGCCAGCACCCTCTGGGGGAAGAGCCTTGCCCTGAGCTCCACCCAAACCTCCCAGCACAGCTCCAGCCATTCCCTTTCACTGTCACAGGGAGCAGAGACCCGAGCTGTCCCTCAGAAATGGTAGAACTGGTTTAATGTGGTCTCCAGGGCTGTCCCCTCCCTGCCCAGTCCTGTGTGACACCTCCATCACACCCACTGTGCTGCTGTTCTGCCCTGGGGGGAATCTCCTGAATCCCAGTCCTGCCTCTTCCCCTTGGCTTTGTGAGTGAGGAATTTGCAGTTTATGGTGTTGAGCATGAGCAGGATCCCAGCCAGGCATGGCCAAGTGACAAGTGGTGGCTGAGATGCCACCAGGGCTCCTTGAGCCCCCCCAGCTCCTGGAAGAGCCCCTGAAGGGCTGACCTCAGGCAGGTTTGGTGGAATCCAGGAAAATGTCCAGTGGGTTGGGGTGGGAGTCCCAGAGCCCTAAATCCAGATTTTCCTTTGGAAAGCACCAGGCTGGACCCAAGGAAGTGGCAGTGGGGCTGAAGGTGACAGGGGGAAGCAGCCAGTGCCATCCATGCCCCCTGTCCATGGTCACCCCACAGTGCTGGGGTGGCTTTGGTGGGGGACACTCCTCCCTAACGCTGTCCCAGCCCCAGCCACCTCCAGGAGGGAACTTCCCAAAGGGAACCTCCTTTCTTGGGGACCCTGACCCTGCCCTGTATGAGCCATGGCAGGAGCACTCCCCAGCTGTGCTGGCAGCTCCCTGCAGCCACATCTGGCCACAGCTGGCAGCAAGGCTCCAGAGGGCACAGCTTTGTCTGGATGAGCCCAACTGAGCCTGCAAGGCTGGGAATTGGGGGGGACATCCCCATGTGAGGATTTAAGGCAGCTGAATGTGGTATTTGAGCTGGGTAAATGGGATTGTCATGTTGAAAGGGGGAACTGCATTAGAAAAGAATTCTTTCCTTACTGGAGAGATGCTCTGGGAGCAGCTCCTGCTTCAGATGATCGCCCCTGCTCCAGCTCAGCTTTGGTTTCATCCTGCCAGATCCATCCTGGGCCATCCTTCCACCCACTGGAGCTGGCTGTGGTCCACAGGGGTGGAAGGGACCTCAAAGGCCATCCCACATCCCATTCCAACCCCCAACATGGACAGGTCTTGTGTTTGTGGGGTCCCCAGAGGAAGGAAAGGAAGGAAAGGAATCTGACTCCATGTTCTCAGAAGGCTAACTTATTATTTTATGATGCTATACTATACTAAAGAATACTAAACTATACTAAAGAATACAGAAAGGATACTTACTCAATGCTAAAAGATAATAATGAAAACTCCTGACTCTGTCCAGAGTCCTGACACAGCTTGGCCCCGATTGGCCAATGAGCCAAAACAACTCACAGCAGAATGCAATGGAACAATCACCTGTGGGTAAACAATCTCCAAACGCATTCCATATGAGCACAAAAGAGGAGAAGCAAATGAGAAAAGAATTGTTTTCCTTTTCTCTGAGGATTCTTATCTTCCCAGGAGAAAAATCCTGGGGATTTTTCAGAGGGGATTTTTCAGAGAATGTGATGGTGACAGACAGGGACACTTCCCAAATTCCGTGTGGAATATCTGCCACGTGCGCTCATGGAGGGAGCAGGTGATGCCTTTGTACCTTGAATCCTGCATGGTTTTCTACCCTGGGGAGAAAACCCAGCAGCTGCTCTGGGATCTCTCCCATCCTATTTTGGCCCTAAAAGCAGCACGAGCAAGGCCTGGGATGTCTCATGAAGGGATTTTGCTGCAGAGCATCTCCCTGGGGTGCTTGGCTCCCAGCTGGGACCATGGGGAGCTAAACTTAGGGTGGTGGGGAGACACTGGGACAGTGTCCCTGGAGCTGCCACAGGCTGAGACATTGGAACTCCGTCACTGCAGCTGGCACAGGGTCCCCAGAGCAGCTGGGGCTGCCCCTGGATCCCTGGCAGTGCCCAAGGCCAGGCTGGACACTGGGGCTGGGAGCAGCCTGGGACAGTGGGAGGTGTCCCTGCCCATGGCAGGGGTGGGAATGGATCATCTTTAAGATTCTCTCCCACCCAAACCATTCCATGGACATTATGATTTGTCTCTGGACTGGGATTTCCACCTGGTTGTGGAGATATTTCTGATCCTGAATTTCTCCTGCTGTTGAATTCTTTTGGGAAGAGGC